TTTGCCTATTTTTAACTAGATTGCTTTATACATCTTTGAGCCCATTTTATAAGCTGGATATTAATCCTGTATCAGATGACTAGTTTATGAATATTTTCTTCTACCTGTCAGCTGTCTCTTCACTGTTGTTTATTTTGCTTTCTATTTCTGTTCTGAAATATTCTCTGGATAACAAAAGCCAAAGGGATTAGGGAGGGTATGTGTACATCTGTGTCCTCTGTTTTATCCACATGAATACCATGTATTTACTATGTTTTTTTAACTAACATGTATTTCAAACTGGTGCAAAATGGAACGATGCTAATGTCTAAAAAATGCACTTCAGTAGAATCAAATGATATGTAATATCAAAAGTTTTCATTTTAAGAAAACCTAAAAGCTGATGCTTCTGAATGATGCTGCTGAGTTTTTATTGAAGAAACCCCCTCCCTTAGGCCCCAAATCAGGTTGGAACCTCTCATTACAACCACACCCCTGGGATGGTCTGGAAGACACCTTCTATCTTAATGTTTAACAAGCAATGACCACAGGATCTGATCCCAGAGAAATACTCCAAAAGTAGACAGCCTGCTCATAAAAACTCCTCCCAAAACAATGCAAGCCATTTCTTTTTTTTTTTTAAATTATGTTGCATTATGTGACACAATTTCATAGGCTCTGGGTTTTCCCCAGTCCCTCCCCCTGCCCTCTCCCCATGGTGGGTTCCTCCACCTTGTTGCAGTATTACAGTTCTTTGCATACATATACCAAGAATAGAGTCCAGCATCTTATTGTCCAGATAAATTCAATGGTTTCTTGGGGAGACCATCTCTGGTCTGAAGGCTGAGCTGGCAGAATATCATCCCAATCAATTAAAAGCCACAACATAACATCAGCAACAATTTACAACTTTATGGAATTAATTGACATGATATTGAGTATTCAATATGTTAAAAAAAAAAACACACACACACAAGTTCTTAACCACATCCTGTGACTACGTCATTGACATGTCAATTTTAGTTTATACACAGAACCTGCTGTTATACACCTTAAAATGGCTATAGGGTACTATTCAGCTGTCTCATGTCTATTTTCATTTTTATATTTAGCAGTTTATAGTGTTGAAGCATAATTTTGCTGAACCTGGCAGATTTTAGGATAGTCTAAATAGGCTTATAACTCTAACAAGGCATTTGTCAACAGTTGAGTTGCAGAACAGTTTTAGGAGGGGTGTGCAGAGAAATCTTCAATACCTTAGTGAGGAGTAACTAATCTTTGTGTCCTACCTAGTAAGGTATATGTGGATCCACGCTGACTGTTTCCGTCTGATTCTAAGCTTTCCTTGTTGTTCTCTGTCTATTCTAATTTTTTTTGTTTGTGTGTTTGTTTTGGGGGGGAGGGGCTCTGGAGCAACCCTGATGGTCATTGCAAGAGAGGGTGGGGATCCAACCATTTCTTAAACCCTGTGCAGTGAGACACAAAGATCCTAGAGGTAGATTTCTTTCCAATTTCCTTTTTTCTTTCTTTCTTTCTCTTTCTTTCTTTCTTTCTTTCTTTCTTTCTTTCTTTCTTTCTTTCTTTCTTTCTTTCTTTCTCTCTCTCTTTCTCTCTCTCTCTCTCTCTTTCTATTGGAAAGATAGATTTATAGAGAGAAGGAGAGACAGATAGAAAGAACTTCTATCTGCTGATTCACTCCCTAAGTGGCCACAATGGCCTGAGCTGAGCATATCAAAACCCAGGACCCAGGAGCCAGTAGTCTCTTCTGGGTCTCCCATGTGGTTGCAGGGTCCCAAGGCTTTGTGCTGTCCTCCACTGCTTTTCCAGGCCACAAGCAGGGAGCTGGAAGGGATGTGCAGTACTGGGACATGTACCAGCACCCATATGGGATCCCAGCGTATGCAAGCTGAGGACTTTAGCCATTAGCCTACCTTCCCAGGTCCTAAAATTGCTTTTTATCTTACCCTCATTCATTGCCTTGCTATTTTATTGGTTAGGGAATCAGCCCCAACCAGGCTGGTCCTTGACCCTTTTGATAATTCACTTCTCCAAATACATTAGCAAGAACATTCCTTACTCGGGGATGAAGTGTGAGAGGTTGAAAAACCTACACCAACATGAGATGGGAGAGGGAGGCCTGGGAATGCTTATATGGGAATAATCCTTAGTGTGCTGTGCCCTAACTCCCCTCACACTGCCCAGCTCCCATGTCTGTGACGTTTCTATCCCTACCTGTCTGAGCCTGGGAAAGGGTCTTCACTTTCCTATGCTTCCATTTCTTTCCTGAGTAAGTGAATCCATAGGAGAGGATCAAAGTGAGTTTTACATGTAGTTAATACACAGGAAACCCTTAAGGCAGAGCATGCTAATTAGTAAGCCTGATGTCATCTTTAGTTTATGCCTACAGGTAGGGAGTTGGGTGAGAGGAAGAGGAGGTTGGACAAATATTCCTGGGACAAACCCCTAACTCATCTCCCTGACTTGCACCCTCTACTTTCAAAATCCTAGTCTTTCCTGCCAACTGCAAGCTTCGCTCCTCTTTGGGATTTACCAGGAACTAAAGCTACTATTTTCCTAACAAACACGTTTGTCACTAGGCTACTAACATTGTCATGAAATTTGAAATATCTTGGCTCAGCTGATGGATCTTTCCCTTGCTGTGCATTCATTCCCTCTGATATTTGTTTACTAGTCTCTCATCTATTCTGCACTGATCAGAAGAGATTGGTATGCTAAAGGGTCCACTCTACTGTCTGGAATCAAAGGCTCCCTGAATAACCAGTTTTTCTTCAAAGCTTTAAGGTCTATGTTCATTTAGTTCATGGTTCTTACACTGCCGGGAATGTTCTTTAATTTTCACCAAAGAAAAAATTCCATCCCTGCATTAAAAGGATTTTCAACATCGTTTCCAGCTATGAAAAGCAATTTGAAAAAAAAATGCACCAAAATTCAGTATTGCTTTCCCCTTTTTACCTTGTCTGATATTGTGAACAAATGAACACATAAGCAATTATATAGCACTCTGACTCAGTGAACTTGGATGGGAAAGAAATTATTTGCATTCATCTTATGGAAAAGAATACTGAAACCAATGGGCGGAGCAAGCAAGAGCCCAAGCTGGATGGGCTGCCAAGGTGCCCTTCCAGCTGTGCCTGGAAAACAAGTCCATTGTGCATTCATACATGTTGTGTTAGGAGAAACATGTTTTACCAGGAGCTTACACCAAGACCAGCCTAATTAATTATAATGACTACATCCTTCCCTGTTTCCATTTTCTTCAAAAAGGAAAGCCTATCAAACTTTTTTTTTCTTTTTGCCAGAGCTGCAGCTATGGTTTTGAAGTTAAAAATAATTGCACTTTATGACTACCTTGCATGACAACCTGACATGCTACTATTTTGTTTCATTCAGTAGTAAGAGGCATCCAACTTATAGTATGAACATGAGATAAGTGTTTGGGAAGCTAGGGTACTTATTTGAAAGGTGGACTCATTATTGAGCCCCAAACAATACCAGCTTCACCAGGAGAACTCTTACATAAGCACTGGTCTTTAGGCAGTTGCTCAAATTCCCTCTTTCTTCACAGAGTTCTTCTGTTCATGTCCTAAAGGTATCTGCCCTTGTCAGTTGAAACTGACAGGAGTAGAAGATCTCTGTGCTTGAAACAAGACTGACAAAAGCGGGACACATCAGCCAAAGTAGTGACAACACATGTTCCTCAGGAGATTCTATTCTAAATTCTGTCAGCTCACTGGTCCCAGGAAGTTGTCTTCATCCTAAGTGCAGACTATCAAGACATAGTTTGTCATTGATTGGGCAGACAGATCCATGGGAGGTGACCTGCCCGAGTCAGCACAGCAAGCAAGCGCACAGTACACCTTTCCAGGTGTGCCACAGCACAGCAAGCAAGTTCACCCAGCACTATACATGATGTAGTAGACCAAAATGGAATGGGAAAAAGTTCAAGATCAGAATGCGGATGTTAGAGAAGCTTGGATGCTCAAGAGTAGATGAAATTTTTTTATCTCTATCTATTCTTTTTTGTTTGTTTGTTTATTCATATAAAGGGAATACATTTCACATATTCCATGATACATATTAAGAAGTACCTCCTACCCAACCCCTTTCTCTTCTATCTCCCCCATTTTTCCCCTAATCTTCATGAATTCTCTTTCAGTTGTTAAAAGTTTTTTTAATGGGTAGTGCAAATAATGACCAAGACTACATTCCTCTATAATTCAGGTTCTGAAATATCCAGCTCGTAGGCCATGTAAGGTGTAAGTGATTTTTTGATCTAGCCCTAGGAAAGCAACTGCAGGAGGGACTGAAAATACACCATGTTTACAGCAGGCTAGTTTTCAGGCTGATAAATTTGTATGGCTGGTGGATGATGCTCCAAGTATCCAGATTGCCCTTAGTAGAAAGAAGGCTCTTTACGGCTGCAAAAACCTACAATGAGACATCCACCTCACATTTTTGAAAAGTGTAAAGAGAGCATTTGCAGGCAAGGAGCAGCAAGACAACAGAAGCATGGGAGAGAAACTGCTCCATTCTCCTGCCATGGCCCCTAGCAACCACTCTTCACATTAATGTCCACCGTCAATGTGAGCATTGGGAAGTGCACGAGGGAAAAAGAAATGGACAGTCTATTGCCTCCACTCCCTGAACGGGAGAAAACCGCATCATCATGATGAGGAGGCCACGCACGGCACGTGAGAGCTGAATTGTTTATTGTCTGGCTGTATCTGAACTCACTGGAAAACTTACCGCTCATCCCTCTGGTGGTAGTGCCGAATAGACCTTGCTTGGCCTCTATGCAAGGGCATTGCTGATTGAGGGAGAAGTGGAGAGTAGACTATTAGAATTAACTAATACCCATTTAAAAGCTATCCACAGGTACCAAAATCAAACAAGACCCTTCAAAATCACAAAAGACAGTCCTTTACTTTACCTAATTGTCATAAGTCTCTCAACACAGTTTTTTTTTTCCCGACTATGGCAACAAAGAACAAACTAAGACACAAGATTTAATTACCTGGTTTATTAGGGGGAAAGTCATAATAAAAACTTCAATGGCTTATTTTGCAACTTACAAAACAATAATTTTGGTATATATAAATTGAACTGGATTTTCATTACATTAACATAAATGGTAAAAAAAAAATGACACATCCAACATATTTACCATTCAAAGAAGGTCACCTGCCTGAATTTTCCTATGGCATGTTTTATGTCATTTTAAGTCTGTTTATCAAGGAAGACCAGGTTTTACCTATATGTACATTTCTGCTAGTTGTCATTTATCAGAACTGTATCTGTATGACGCAAGCCCAGTGAGACCTAAGATTTTTTTAAAAAATCCATGTGATTTCATCTCCTTCAGCTTACTAAATGGCACTTTTGTGAAAACACAATGTCCAGGCTTTGGAATACAACCTCTTCCTGTCTATCAGTCAGGATGCACCAGACCCCATCCATCCTCTCCATCCGTCTACACCAGCCCTGGACATACAGACACACAGCAGTACAGATGTAGTAACACAGCATTTCCCATCACCCTAACCCTATATGCTACTCTAACAGAGAAAATTTCATCCTAGCACTTCGCTTCTCAAAGGGGCCTTACCACTGCCATGGGTTTTGGTAGTTTGAAAATACTTTCCCACATGGTATATCAAGTCAAGGTGAAGTTCAGCAAAATTCCTCACCTGTAATATGCACTTAGGAAACTATTTTGTTTCCTTAAATAACTGAAAGCTTGAAAAATAGTTTTTTTTTTTTTTTAGGCGTTGCTTTCAGTATAACTGGACACCAAAAATGCTCACTAATATCTCCCCCTTTTGTGGAACTCTTAATAGAACCATCCCATCTGGGGAAAAAAAGAAAAAGAACTTGATCAGATCACCAACTCTTGGAAGGCTTCTCTTGCTGCTTTAGAAAGTGGTAAGTTTCGTGTTCATATTCTTTTACAAATGCACTATAAATGTTACAAAGAGACACAAGGAAATACTGCCTTACACTAGGTGATCACTGAAAAGAAGCAAGTCTCATTAAACTCCACAAAACACATATAAAAGATGGGTATGAAACTGTAACACTAGTTGAGAAACATTGTCTCCCAAGCTACAAAAAATTAGAGCAATTGCAACAAGCTGAATAATACACACACTGCTGGAGAACAGGTTCGGAGGAGCCTGGGGAGACAGTTTCTCCTTCTGGAATGGATCTCGGATTTCCGGATCTCCAAGGCAGCGATGTCATCCTCTTGCTTCCCTGCTTTAGGCAGAGGTGTAGAAGTACCGGGGCTTGGCATTACCCAGCAAGTCATCCTCATAGTTGGGGAGACAGCAGAAGAAAAAGGCACAACCAATCAGGATAATCGTGGCTGCCCACCCAAAGCCGTAGGCCCAGTTATAGTAGTAATTGACAGCAGGGTTGAGATGAAGGTTGAAGGTCTGGGTGTACTTCACAGGGTAAATGACCAGCGAGATGATCTGGAACACAGCTAAGGGGAAGAAAACAAAAATCCCAGAGTATAAACACATGCATGAAAGAATGAAGCAATGCATAGCAATAAGAGATGAGCTTCCTCCACAAAGTCCCTCTCTTAAGTAAGTGTGAGAACCATCTTTAAGATGCCAAAGGGACTGAAGGAATCTGGCTCATTGTGCGCTAGAAAAGGTTACTGGCTCTTGGAGGTCAGAGACACCTGGAACTGAGAAGTATCAAAACCATCCACTGGCCGCATGAAACACAGACAGAAAACAGAGCCCTACTGTGTGATCTGGGTCAGCGACTACACGGACTGAGAAAAGTACAGAACTGTGCTGATCCAGTCATCACAAGGTCACACAGCACTTGCAAGCAATGAAACGGTTCAGGGACACTTGCTTCTCCTGAGTACTGGGCTCAGAGAAGGCCATGTCCAGGTCTAGCACATTCTAGTCTCTGGAGTGAGGACACTGCCACCAGGGGCCATCTAAGAGTGACAACACTTATTGTGGAGCAGGAAACACACTGTCAAATGCACAGGACAGATCTCAAAATGCCTTCCTGTCACTTCTGCCTTTGGGGACACAATTTGGGAAAGGAGATCAGAAGCTACAGTTGTCACAGCTCCTCTCTGCATGATGGGCCATCACTCTACTGACACCTACTTGAACATGTGAGCAAGAATTGCCCAGACACAGTCTTACCAGCCAGGGCGAGGAGGCCTCCAATCACGCGGAGGAAGACCAGCATCTGGGGTCCGCAGAGGGCGAAAAAGGAGAGGATGAAGCAGATAACCAGGATGATGAAGCCACAGAAGAGTGTGGCGGCCGCTGCCCTTCCCCACGCTGCGAGCAAACAAGACAGGAATTAGTACCGCACATGCACCAGATGTCCTAAGGATGGGTCAAGGCCCCGGGGCAGGGGAGGAAGGAGTGTCATGTTTTCTCTGTTACAACCAAATTTCGGTGGAGGGACAGCTGATCCCTGGACCACACTTCAACCTCTTCTTATTTCCATGGAAGTATAGCCCATTGCTACATAGGACATGAATAGATCAATGTTTGAGAATCCTGTTTGCTACCTCGCTGGGGCAAATGTCGATATCTCCCACATTAAAAGAAAAAATGCCACATAAGCAGGCAGATTTAAAGGGTTCACCCAAGCTTTAGCCATAATAAATAGGATTTTTAGCACTAAACAATCCAAGTCACAAACTCTCTAGGAAATATTCCAAATACATCTAAATGGTCTTTTGTTTCATATTTATGTTTTATTTCACTCAAAAATAATCATTTAAAAATATGTATTTACAACTAGGCAGAAATGGCAAATAAAACAATCAAATGATAGAGAAGAATCAATGATTTTTTATAACATGTTTAGTAGTGAACAACCTTTCTATATTTCTCCTTAAATGTTCATTTCTAAAAACTTAATTCAGAATACATTGTACATGGGTGCTTTTTGAAAAACATATATAGAAAAGGCAGAATGATAGCAAGCAGAGGAAAAAGAATGTGTGTGTGTGTGTGAGAGAGAGAGAGACATAAACAGAGACAGAAAAATATGTTTTTCATCCCCTGGCTCACTACCAAATTTCCTCAACAACTCTGACTGGGTCAGGCTAAAGCCAGGAGTTACGAACTCCATCTGGCTCTCCCATGTAGATAACAGGGACCAGCACACTCAAGCCATCACCTGCGCCTCCTGGGTACATTAGCAGCAAGCTAGATTAGAAGCAAAGGCAACACATGATTCAGGCACTCCAATATGAGATTAAAGCATCCTAAATAGTGGCTTAAGCCACTATTTAAATCAGGAGAAGGTGGAAACAGACACTGAGGTGGGAACATCTATAGGGCACCTTGAGCCCTGAGTCATCTACTCGTGTCTGAGGATGTGGGAGATGCTTGGTACATTCACAAGGGATTGCAACCAGTCATTCGTATAGTTCAATCTGCACTGTTTTTTTTTTAAGATTTATTTATTTTTATTGGGAAGTTAGATCTACAGAGAGAAGAAGAGACAAAGATCTTCTGTCCGCTGGCTCATTCCCCATGTGACTGCAATGGTAATCCAAAGCCAGGAGACTCCTCTAGGTCGCCCACATGGGTGCAGGATCCTCGATGGCTTGCCCAGGCTGCAAGCAAGGAACTGGAAGGGAAGTGGAGCAGCTTGGATACAAAGTGGCACCCACATGGGCTTCCAGCGCATGCAAGGCAAAAACTTTAGCCACTAGGCTACCGTGCTGAGCCCTGCACTGGTTTTTAAAATCTCTTCCCCTACCACCTTTTCTGTAACTGGATGTATCACATGCAGGGCTTGCATGGGCTCACTGCTTCCTCACAGCTGTGGTGGTCACACTATGGCCATCTCTTTCAGAGATGGCTCTATTTTTTGAGCCTGGAGAGCTCAAATACCTTACTCTCTAACAGCACGGAAGGCAAGATTCGGTCCTCACTGAATTCTAGGTCATTTGGCCAAAGTCAATGAAAGCTAAGGGCTGGCAGGGAGGGTAAGATTCCTGCCACCAGCTGGGCCTCACAAGCACTCTGCCTCTACCACCTGAATGAGTCACATGCCAGTCTCCTCAACTGGGGAGTCCAACCTGGGAGCTTTGCATCAGAGAAAGGATGGATGGCTCACAATGAGAGGTTTAAAACCCACAGGCCTCCCTGCTTGCGTGCCTGTGGCTTTGTGCCATGTCCTCCCACTCTCCAACTAGCCTACATTCATGAGGTTCTGTAGTGGCAGGTGCAAATCACTGCTTGGTTCCCTAGGGTGCTGTCACATCTTCAGCTGTGACACCCAAAGCCGAACCTGCTCCATTCCCTAACTCGCATGCTGCCTCCAGGGCTTCCATGGAAGAGCAGCAAAGATTACTGTGGTGGGGAGAGACTACACGCCCCTGGAAAAGTGTGAGCTCACAGACGACCCTGAAGGATGGGCTCCGGGGTTATGTTTGAGGTCTTCATCACTTTTCTCCAAATATTATTCTTGCTGTCAGATCAACGACAGGTTTGAAGAATAAAATTCAAATATTTTAACAATAGAAATTAATAAAGCCAAAATATGAAATCTAGGCAGCCTGTTTCTTTTTCACCTTGTATTTAAGTGGGGAAACTGTTGGGGCATTTGGGAAGGAAATCAGCAGTGAGAGAGATCCCCCCGTCCCCTTTTACCTTTCCCTTGTCTTTCTCCTTCTCTTTCAAATAAGCAAACATTTTAAATGTATGTATGTATAAATTCAAGCTTGAGTATTTGGCACAATGGTCAAGACCCCACTTAGGACACCTGCATCCCGTATTGCAGTGGCTGGCCTTGGGTCTTGGCTCTGCTCCCTGTGCTTGCTCCCTGCTAAGGCAAACCTTGGGAAGGCAGAGGATGATGGCTCACATCCAGAGGGAATACCCACACTAAATTCCTGGTCCCTGGCTTCAGCATAATCCAGCCCCAGCAATCAGGAGCATTTGGGGAGTACACTTCCGGAGGGAAATCCCTCTCAGTTGCTGACTCTCTCCTTATCAGATAGATCGATAGATAAATTAAAAAAAATTGTTCAAAAGGCAGAGATTAAAGCCCCTGCATATGTTTTCATAACACATATTCCCACACATTTGAAAGATATCTTACATTTATGCTGAAGCTTAGAAACTAAAAGAGATTATTAGATTTCTTATAAAACAGACACACCATTACCCAAAAAAGAGCACATAACTCTTTGTATATATGGTGGTTATAGCCTATAGTTCAATTGTATGACAGTTATGGTCTCATTTTTACAGGTTTTTTTATGACTACTATCATTTAAGGTCAATTAAATCTAATAACTGAATAAGCAAATTTATCTTCCCTGTGTAAAAAAAAGAAATTTTTATCCAACAAATTTTGTTTGATGAAAAATGTTTTTCTCATTTTGAAACTGTGTAAGGAAAAGCAAGATATTTTCATGCATATATGCATATGCACACAGATTATTAATAAATAAAATGATTATACACTGCATATAGCAAATCTGAACTTCCAAAAAAACAAGAGATAAATCACGACAAAGAATATAATTTAACAACTGCTTCTGACAATCACAAATTTAAAAGTATTGAATGTTGCTATAAAGAATAATAGTAACTGTGTATCTATTTAATGAAGTATACCAGCAGACAAACATGGGTATAACGACAGACCATCTTAAGAACTTTTCCTGGGACTGGTGTTTTGGCAGAGCAGTTTTGAGTCCCGGCAGTTCCACTACTAATCCAGCCGCCTGCTGATATACCCGAGAAAGCAACAGCAGATTGTCCAAATGCTCACGCCATGGCCACCTATGGGGGCAACCTTAGGTGGAGTCTCAGGTTCCTAACTTCCGCTGGAGGAATTTGCAGAGGAAAGCAGCAGAGAAAAGATCTCTTTCTCTCTCTCTCTTTTTTTTTTTCTCTCTCTCCCTTCCCCTTGCTTCTCCACCTTTGCATCCTTCTCTAACACTGCTTTATCAAATAAATAAATAAATAAATCGTTCAAAAGAGCAGAACTTTTCCTACACCACATTAAATCAACTCAGCTACTGTCTTCCCTGTTTTAAATGCTGAATCCTGAGAAATTCACACTGTAAAACCAAGTGGCTCTGTGTCGTGGGAGCAGAACATGTCAAACCTGCTCTTGTAGCAGATTCACGCCCAGTGACTCACTCACCTATCACTGGAGACAGACATATTGCGTGTTGTAAAGATGCTGCCTGCCCTGTGACAGACCTTCCCCAAGCGGGGCCAGCTCCCCTCTCCTGTCAATGCCTGCTTTGTTTCACAATGTGGAGAGGCACCACACCCGGCCCAGGCAAAATGCTTGCAGCCCAACTTCCTACACGTGGAAGGAGCCCTTTGGCTGTGAGGACCCAGAGCTTGGCTCTTCCCTGTGACACAGGTTTCAAAAATTTAGTTACCTTTGGTTTCACTTAATTACCTAGAATAAGCTAATGTCTATCACCCAACCATTTGGGAAATATTTATACTTTTAGGCTAACCGCAGGGAAACATATAAATTTTTAGGATTACTTCTTTTGGTCCACACCTCTTCTCAAGCATAGATGATCCATCTTCATTCTGAACACAAGTTTATCCTTCATTGCTACTGTAATTTAACTTGATGGCTCTCTGTGAGAATAAATGTGTGTGTGTGTGTGTGTGTATAAACGGAGTGGGGAAGAGTCTCATTGTCAGCTGTCTTTCTTTACATTTCGATCATAAAAGCATGTAATATTGTGAGAGAAATATTAGGTTTCCATGTTTGGTTGGTGTTTTTTTGTTTCCTTAAGGGTAGACCCACCAAGGCTTGTTGTCTTCTGTTGTGTCTTAAGTGTATTTTGCGAGTTCTCCTTTAAGAAGTTCATGTTAGCCAAGAAGTTGGTGGTATTATAAATCTAGTAATGCCATGTAAGTCCAGGAACCCCCACAGTCAAACTGATCTGGCTCAGCCACCACACTCTGAAGCACAAAAACCTAGAGGATGATTCAAGGCAAGTCTCTGAAGACCCCACAGCAGAGCAAGTGCTCTGGACAGCAGCAGAGGTACCAGGGAAGGACAGGCATGACCCAGGGGCAGTCCCCTCCAGAGTGTGAGATTCCACACATTCCAGGCATTTTCTCCCCACACTGGGTCTTCCCTGGTTCCCTTGTAGGGGTGAGGAAACCACCCCAGACAGCAGTGGGTGAGAGCAGACACTGCACTCTGCGCACGTAACTCATAGTGAGCTGGGTTCTATCATGAAACATCTGGAAAGGTCATACACAGAGGAAGATAGCTTGAAAGCAAGAAATGGAGGCAGTGCATTTCCACCCAGCAGGGGTGAAGGAAATGATAAACAGCCTCCCCTCCCTCCTGCCAGGCAACAGGATAGAGGGAGGCAGACCCTGGACAGGATGCTGGACAAGAGTGGCACTTGCAGCCCTCTGTGATTGCAGCAAGCCAGTGGTCCCTGGAGGTCAATGCCAGGGGCCCAGGGACTCTGCTGACCTCCTGCCAAGCTCAGGGTATGTGGCCCACTGGCAGCAAATATCCCTCTTCAGATGTCCATACATGGTAAATTGTCAAAAGCTAGAGAGAGGCCAGCTTTCAATTCTGCTAGGGGAATAAATGCGACCATGCACACATGAAAAATAATCTTTCTGCTAATGACTGGTTTCATAAAATAGCAACAGCTGAATATCTCGCACCAAAGACCACAATGGCACTATATCAAAAAGCAGTCACTGAAGCTGAACCTATCGCAATGAAAAATTAGCAACTTCTAACTCATCTTTCTGATTTCCTGCACACTTAAGAAACATGGGGCTAAATGACCTAAAGTTATTTCACTTAATTATTGTAATGTTTTGGCTTCTAAGTGTAAAATCATGGGATGTAATCTAGGGTATTCAGATGGTGTTTTTTGAAAAAAAAAAAAAATTCCAGGTCTAATTTCCTCCCCATTTAAGGTAAACAGACTCATTGTAAAGGATTTAAGATCTACCCACAGATGCTTAAAACATTTCCTGATAAAACCTTTTAAAAATCTCCTCTATTAAAGCTGAGAGAAGGTGCCAGTCACGCAAAAACAGTATCTGAGAAAGAAGCACCAAGACTGCATTATGCCTTTTGTTCACAGGGACATTTAATTTTCTTTAATCATGCATTTCATTTTCCTGTTTGGCAAATATAAACTATGATTTGAAAAACTCCAAGCAAGCATCAGTTAAGCTAAGCATTCATTTAGCTGCTACTCTCAGGAACAAGAAAACACTCAGTGAATACTTTGCATCACGCATGAACAAAACCACGGCGATACCTGGAAGTTTGAAATAACTTAATAGCAAAGAACAAGAGCTGTTGTTTTATAAACTTCTAAGAGACTATCTTTACTACGAGGTTTGCAATCTTTAATACTATCATCAACACTAACAACCTGGGCCTTTTCTTCCAAACAAATTGCTAGGAATATTAATTAATAAAAGCACATAAGCATTCTGCTACAAAAACACATACTTTCTTTAGTTTCCACAACATATCAAAATATTCCCTATTATGCATCAGTGCTTTTTTTTTTAAGCTCCATTTTCTTGGAGCCTTTAGAGCTTTATCCCTTCAATCAGGGCCACCAACCTTACTCCTGCTTACACAGGATACTGGTCGTTGTGTGTAGGTGGGAGTGTGTTTACGGTGTTTACGTCATTGCAAAGGACCACCCCTTGTCACCATAGTGTTAGTAGCAAAGCCTTACTTAGGCTATCTGAAAATCTGTGAGTTCAGAGATGTCTGGAAACCATCCCCCCTCCGTGGGAACACACAGTGGCTCCACTCACCTGCGGGAGATGGGGCAGGTTTTAAAGTGTTTCCATGTACTTCTTTTTTCTATTTATTTGTTTGTTTACTTGTTTATTTATTTGTTTTGATGATCTTTACATCGTTATTAGGGCTCAGAGGGTCAAAGTGGCCCCTCTGCTGATTCCCTAGCCACTGGCTCCTTCCTGGAGCACCCCCACAGCCCCTGGATCTGAGATCTGACCCCAGGCTTTGCATAAAAGCATGCACACACAAACACACACACACACACACGTATTGGTCTGTAACCATCGCCACAAATTGGAGATTCAAAGCCATCATCTACTTCTGCAGAATCACACCCTCAGGATGGACTTCTTACTGATTAACTTTGAAAACAAAGTTTCACCAGAAGCCAATCTTTGTATCAAACAAAATCATACAAGATCCACACTTTTTCTTTACAATGGAAAAAGTTAGTGCCTTTGACTTTAACTAAGTTTTTAAAATCAAGCTAGAAACAAAGTCTGCTTACTCTCATGGGTCGGCAGAGCACTAACTCAGTGTGAGACTAGAACAGACACATCCTAGCAAGGTGAGCTCATCCTCCAAGTCCAGGCAACCGAAAATGCACGCTCTCTCTCTCTCCCTCCCTTCCCCCCCTCCTCCGTGTGTGTGTGTGTGTGTGTGTGTGTGTGTGTGTGTGTGTGTGTGTGTGTATGTATGTGCTTCCCAAGAGGGCTGCATCATAGCCATTGCTGTCAGCCAAACCGTACCCCACAGAGAGCCCTGCCTGTGCTGGCTGAGCCAGCTGGCGGCATTCTGGACACTGCTGCCCAGTGGGCTCTGGGCCTGTGTGAGTCTTTGGGGCCAGAAACCACGCTCCAGGTTTGCTTAGAACACAGAAGCAGACCTGTTGAGTCTTCTGTGTGCATTTTCAATGCCAAGACGCGGTTAGATGATCTCCAGTTAATTTCCCCTTGAAACTGAAAGACTCGGGGTAACGCTAACCTGGCAGGTGTTGAGTTTGTGTGTTTTCAGGAAAGAAAAACACAGGCATTCGGGTGAAAGCAGGAACTTCCGGGGCGGCTTTTAACTTTTTACAACCTGCTTGATGAGAATGGTGCTTGCTTTATGGGGGAAAGTTCCTTCCGTGAGAGATCAAACCCACCTCACGGTAGGCACACAAAGGCCCCATGACCGACAGAGGAACAGGACTTAGGTGGAAGCCCTGGGCCACTTGGGCAAAGAGAATGAAGTCAAGGGCGACAGCAAGAGAGAGAGACAGAGAGCGCGGAAAGGGGGCGCTACTGCAGCCATTCCCTCTCCGCACACGCAGGTGATTAATCGCCCTGGACACCTGCGCTGTCACCCCAAGGCAAGAACAGGATCCCACCAGGAGACAGGACCCTGAGCTCTCTCTGCTTCTGCCCAGTTACGTGCTGGAGCCTCCCCCATGCTTGAAAACGCTGGCCGATCCACTCTGCCGCACTTCCCTCCAGCAGAAGTTGTTGTTCTTTGGTTTTCAGATTCCTGATTGGATTCTAAGAGGCAAATGTTCTTGACTGAAGCCCAATGGCCACTCCCCGGAGCCAGAGCTAACCAGACAGACTGGCCTGGTAGGTGAACACCAGGAGAGTAGCTGGGCTGTCCCAGCTGCTCCAGCTTTGACCGTCAGCACTTTTCTTTTTCAACGTGCAGTGTTTCTTTAGCGTAGATCACCATAAATAGAGCCACTGGTGTTAGGGAAGGGGAGATACTGCAACACTTGTATTTTGATCATAAAACAGCGGGGAGAAGCAAGAGGACTGGGAAGATGTTTCAACAGGTCTCCAAGAAAACATACTTGGCTTTTTATAGGTACTCATCTAAGCTGCCTAGTGCCTGAAACGCACAAATCCCAAAAAATTTGAAGCAGGGCCATTTTCTTCCACCGGGTACGTTTTCGGCCACCCAAAGTGGCTGCGTCTTGTTTTGGTTCAGGTGGCCCGCTGAAACCTGAATTCTAAATAAACATTTTTTTTTTTAAAGCAATTACCCCCTCCACCCCATAAAGCCCCTTCCCCACAGCCCGGTCGTCGGTACAGGCCACCGAGGTCTTCCTGAAGGCGGCGGCGCGTACTCACCGTAATCCATGAGGCTCTGGCATCCTTCCTCCGCCGAGCCGCTGCCGCCGCCCTCGCTGGAGCATTTCCACCAGAGAGAGGACGTCTGGATGTGGTCTTCCGACTGCAGCCAGCCGCGGCCGGCCAGCGCGATGATGTCGAAGGCGATAGCACTGAGCAGCAGCAGGGGCAGGATCCACCTGCAGCGCTCGCAGGCCAGGCCGCAGCGCAGCATTGTCGACGGTGGCGGCGGACGCGAAGCGGGGCAGCGCGCGGGGCACGGGCGGCGACCGAAGAGTGGCCCGCGAGCGCGGGGGGCCGCGACAAAAGGGGAAGAGGCGGTGGCAGGGAGGCGGCTCCCTGGGGGCTGGCGCACGGGCGCGCCCGGCTCCACCTCGAGGCCCCTGGTGACTCAGAGCGCGCCCGCCCCGACCTGCCCGGCCGGCCCGGCTCCGGTTACACCCGGCTGCCTGCCGCCTTCCCCCAGCCTGGGGCGGGCGGTCTGCGGAGGCCAGGCCGGAGCGGGAACTCCGCTAACGTGTCTCCCCTCGCTGGAGGACCCTTCCCGTGCACTGTGGGGAAGGCGTGTCACACCTGCTGTCAGGTGGTGCTGCAGCTGTCGCCCACGCCGCCGTGCTTGAGTATTCACGCCCTCTGAGATGGGTGTCCCCCACGGGCAGGCTGCCATGTGCCAGATCCTAGCCGCCCCGTCTTGACCGATTCCGAAGGCACAGGCGCTCTCTGGGTTATTGCTGGCACCGCCTGCGCACTTTGGACCTTTAGCTTCCTGGCGGACCAGTTTTTGTCCCTGCGTTGTGAGCTCTGCGACCTCAGATGCCACTGTTTACTTAAGGAGTTCCAGACTGGGGTGAATAAACAGATTTCCCTTGGAAGCACCCCAGGAGACTTTCTACACATCCAGCCCCTGCCCCGCAACCCTTCCAGGACTGGGGTCACCTCTGCTGCAGCACACTCGAAGTTGTAAAACTCCACCTGCTCAGACCCTACTTTCATTTACTCTTAATACGCTTTTTTTGTTGTTGTTGGAGCTCCCTAACTGAAAGTCCCCTGTCAGCAAGCAGCCAGCATCCAATGCTCCCATGCTCCTCTCCCTAGTACCCTGGGCCGGGTGTCCACACCCTGGGGTGTGCCAGGAGGGTGGGGCGGCAGCCAGGAGTGGCCCAACGAGTTCTCGGTGTGGGGCACCACAGTGGCCTTGGGCAAGCCGTGGAAACTGCTTCATTAGTGTCACATCTCACGCTTCTGAATCCCCTAGGTTCTCCCTCGGTTTAGTATTTTTAAAAAGCAACAAGTTTGTTTCCCCAAGTTCCTACTCCAGGTCCTGGCATTTCAATTGCCTCTTCTCCATAGAAACAGTGCTGTTTTTCTTGTAAGGGTCTCTGGCAATTTCAAGAATACAAGTCCTAGGAAACGGTAGGAAGCCACGTGAAATCTTTTCCATAGTCCCTACTGCATATAAATCAAGCTTTGCACGCACTGAGTTCACAAATTTTCATTAGACACAAAGGATTTGCTTCGCAAAGTAGCACCAAGAAATATCCTGCACCACATAGATTTATGAAGGAATCTGTGATATTTATGGTCTTGGGGCTTTCAGAAGTAATGAAGAACAGTCGTTTCGTTCACTGTCACTGTCATCTATTTGTGAAAAATAGATGTCACTCCTTTTGTTTAAAGATTTTTTTTGAAAGGCAGATTTGCAGAGGAAAGACAGAGAGGGAGGGGGAGACAGACAGACAGACAGAAAGAGAGGTCTTCCATCCACTGACTCGCTCCCTAAATGGCCCCAAAGGCTGGAACTGGGACAATCTGGAGCCAGGAACCTGGAACTTCTTTAACTGTGGTGTAGGTACAGGAGAACTAGCACTTGGGCCATCCTTCAGTGATTTCCCAGGCGCATAGCAAGGAGCAACGTCCAAGCAGAGCCTATTATAGGAGAGACCAGCACCACAGGCTGAGGCTTAATCTACTATGCCACGACACCAGCCCCCCAAAGTCACAGTCCTAAAAATCAAATATCATCCTTATCATAAGCAAAAGGATTTCAGGAACAAACTTGAGAGGCGTGAGTATCTTAACACCTGAAGAATGTGGCATTAGATGGATCTTCTTTTCCTTGTTCCAATGAGACCATTTCCCATGGAGCTCAGCAAAGGAGTCCAACAATGCTGGCACAAACACAAGGAGAATTGCCCTTTGAAATTTCTGGAAAAGTCCACACTGGTCTTGGTTGTGTTCCACTCGTAACACACCTAACACATGATTCCAGAGCAAGATTGGACAGGGGAAATGTCTTCTACTAGCTACGTGATGTTCAGCCAAGTGATTTAACTTCATTGGACCTCAATTTGTTCATCTATCAAGCAGATAATGCTTATTTCATGTGAGTGCTCAGGATAGTAACACATAGGAAGTAAGTCACAACATAAAGATCAGTGATTTTAAAATAGGTTTTTCACTTTAATAAGTTAGAAGAAGGTTGCATGTTTATAGATGGGAAATTCTGTTAAGTGTACTAAATCACAAGTAACTAAGGTAGACCATGCAGTCTGCTATTTACAAAATGTCCTTAATAGAAAGTTGGGTGGTTCCCCCTGGTGGATAACATAGGGGTTGCAGAGCACTTGGCAAGTGTAAATTGTACCTCTGGAAAACGTTACTTTTCAGCCAGGAAAGGTGGCCTAGTGGCAAAATCCTTGCCTTGCATCTGCCAGGACCCCATATGGACGCTGGCTCATGTCCTGGCTGCTCCACTTTCCATCCACCTCCCTGCTTGTGGCCTGGGAAAGCCGTAGAGGATGGTGCAAAACCATGGGACCCTGCAACCATGACCTACTAGAGACTTCTGGTTCCTGACTTCAAATCAGCTCAGCTCTGGCCATTGCAGCCAGTTGGGAAGTGAACCAGTGGCAGAAGATCTTACTCTCTGTATATCTGTCTTTCTAATAAAAAAATAAATTAAATCTTTAAAAAGGGAGATAAGGTTGGTATAATTTTTTGAGGCTTATATACAAGTAGGTGCGTGGTACAGCAGCGACGATGCTTCTGAGCATAATTGTGTCCCCTGTAAGGGCAGCTGGGTTCAGCACCAGCTCTGCTTCCATCCCAGCTTCCTGCTAACTGTACCCTGACAGGCAGCAGCTGATAGTCCAGATGCTCACATCCCTACCACCCTAAAAGCAGACCAGGATAGGAATCCAGGATCCACGTTCATAGTTCAGTCTGGCCCGATTCTGCCTTTTGCTGGTATTAGGGAAAAGAACCAGTTGGTGGAAGATCTCTTTGTGTCTGTTTCTGTTTTACTGCCTTTCCAGTATAAATAAATAAATAAAAGTTAAAAGGTAAATATACAAGTATTTCATATGCACATTATGGGTTTGGAGATAATTACATATTCATCAAAGTATCCCTATAAACAAAAATGTTTTTATAATTGTGGGTTGTTATAAAAGCAATGACAGAAAGAAAAAATACACAAATATACAATGAAATGCATTTCAATGAAAATGTTATGAGTGTTTTATTCTTTCATGTAGAGAAAGCAGTAGCAGTAATAATAAGAGGAGTTGAAAGTGTGCGTGCAAGTACTCATCCACCTGATGAGGTTTGTACTAACATCTCTCTCACATGGACCAGCAGACTGAGACCTCGGACATAGCTTACCCAAAGCAACCATCAGTGCCTGGCTAAGCTGGACTCCAGAATTTGTTCCCAGTCATGCTGCTGTTAGCTACACTGAACTTTCAGGGTTTGGGATATTTTTCTTCCAGTGTTTCCTTTTTTCCTTTCTTCTCCTTTCCCTTCTATAATCCTAGTGGCAACCATTTAGCCAATACTCAGTGCATTTTTTTTCCACATTTACTACTAATCATATAGCTTGACAGCTGTGGATCTTAAGATGGATGTAAACACCAATTAGAACTAGCTGGCAAAGTCCAAGAGATCAAGTTGCTGTGGTTGTGGGAAACATGGCCAACGCCAACCCAAGTGCCCTTCCTGCACTCAGCACCCCTCTTGCCCTGTGATCTGGTGAACATCTCTCAACCCCAAGAGCTCAGCAAATGACCTTGTCCTGATCCCCGAAGAGATGATGTCTCCACACATGTTCTCAAGGTGCTGTAAGCCAGCCTGAATCCAGGAGCCCAGAACTCTATCCTGGGGTGTCTCCCCAATGAGTAGCACAGGCAGAAAGGAGAAGCTCTTGAGCTGTCATCTAACACCCTCCAAGCCCATCAGCTAGAAGCTGGATGGGAAGCAGAACAGCCTGATTTCAGGTCCAGCTACTCTTCTATGGGGCATGGGCATTTCAGAGGGCTGCACCACAATGCCTGCCTGCCCTGTATATGTAATTAACTACTTTGCCTCCAGTGCATGATAAATCCAACATGTTGCATGTTACTTTTCATCATTGTATTCATAGGACCCAGTGGCTGATGCACATTAGAATTCCAATAAAAACTTGTTTTGTGCACATGAGAATCCAGTCAAGCCTTAAGATAACTGAAAAGGCCTCCGAGCACCCTTAATGTTGGCAGTGTCATAATAAAACTCATCATCTTTATTCTGTCTTCGCACTACATCACATGGTTTCCCACCTTGAGACTCCTCCCCCACCCCCCACCCCCCCGCCGCAAGAGCCTTTGGACATCAACAGGAGTTTAACTTTTCTCCCACTCCTCCATTGATATTTCTTGTATTTCTTATTTCTTCTCTTTGTCTATCTCCTTTTACTTCGAGTTTATCAACTTCTTGACTCTTTCCTGAACAACTTCCAGATTTCAATATTGCTCATTGGATAAGGTGCTCAGAACCAAGCCTTGTGCTCAGCCATAGTGAAGAGACGTTTGTCTTCTTGAGATCAGATGTGACACCTCAAGAGTCAGAGTCCATTTGTATACATTTTGTTTTAAAGATCTGTTTATTTATTTGAAAGTCAAAATTAGAAAGATAGAGAGAAAGACATATTCCATCTGTTGGTTCACTCTGCAGGGCTGCAATGGCCAGAGGTGGGCCAGACTGAAGCCAGGAACCAGGAGCTTCATCCAAATCTCCTACATAAATGGCAGGAACCCAAGCACTTGAATTATCTTCCATTGCCTTCTCAGACCATTAGCATGGAGCAGGATTGAAAATGAAGCAGCTGGACTTGAACCAGTGCCCCCAGGATATGCTGGCATTGCAGACAGCAGTTTTATTTGATGTGTCACATCAGCATCCATCACAGTAGACTTGTACTTAACTAAAGCCCTCCAAGTAATTTGCACATCTACT